GCAAACGTGTGGCCTGGGCTTCATTCTACCCAGTGGGAAACATTGACTGACCCCGTGAAAGTCACAGAAGTGTGAAGTGAGCACGTTATTTATAAGAAGTATACAAGAGCAGGCTATCGTAGGCACTGTTGGAGTTGATTTTGGAAAGATGTTTTTTCAAAGTCCAGAGGGAAGGTGAGTGTGGTCACTTAATCTGGGGACCATGGATGCTGTGTCCAAAGGTGACATACTGTTTTTTTGGCCACCCAGAAGTCATTCTCCCCACTTCTATAACGGAGATTTGAGGACCCATCCTTCCCCCTTCGAAGGGCTAAGTGGTCCAGGTAAAAACCACCCACACACTAAGTCCAGGTCGAAGCCAGTCAGGGTGTCCCTTTCCCCTCATCTGCAGTGGTTGGCTGAGGGGTCTCCACATGAGCCAGACACTGTCCCTGAGATGCAGTGAGGCTTCTGCTGAGGCTCCCAGAAAGAGACCCTTGCTTCTTTATGCTGGACTTGAACTTGCTCTCCACTACCCCCATCTTTAGTCCAAACAGACATTAGAGGATTTAAGGAAAACTTGCTGGATTCAGTCAGCAACCTCCGGAGGAGTGTCCTTCCCATCCCACAGTTCCAAGCCAGCCAGGATGGCTCATAGAGATGGGGGACCCTCTCCCTCTCCCCAGCCTGGCATCTCACTTTCCTTGGTCATCTGGTGTACAGCAACATTGCCATTTGGACGACTCTGCCTATTTGAGCAAAGAAGGAGTTGGAGACAGGTGGCTGGGCAGGGGGAAGGAGTGGCAGAGGGAGTGGCCACTCTCTCCTGTGACCAGGATGTGTGTTTCCTGTGGACCTGTGGGAACTGTAGAAGGCAGGCAAGTTCTACCCATCTCGTTGGTAACCTGCCCAAGATGGCTGACGGCCACAAGAAGACCCTGGAGCCAAGAAGCCACATGCAGGAGCTGGAGGTGGCAGCTGGGACCCATCGCCCTGATCAGGGGCATATGTAGTGGGGGTGTCCCGAGAATCCTAGGTTCCTCTCTGTGGAACCTCAGAAGGCCCTTGGGGAAGGCACGAAGAGAAGCCAGGAAGGTAGGGCTTGGGATCTGTTCCAGCACCCAAGCCCTGGAGGAGAAGGAGGTCCAGGAGACACAGGTAATGGAGGGTTGGGACAGACCACAGCCCTACCCAGACTCCAGGCCAGCCTGAGCTAATGGGGTACAGAGCATTGAATTGGATCTGAGACTGGGTTTTAAGCTGGATCAGATTGGTCTGGACTTTTTCGTGCTGAAAAGTGACAGGAACTTTTGGGTTCTGTCTGAGATATCAAGTTCGGGGAAAAGAGAGTCATCAGAGAAAACACCAAATGGCTTCGTGTTTGTAACTCACTTAGTTCACACTATTCAAAACACTGGTTACACAGTTGTCCTGAGATGACTAGGGAACATTGTGCCTGAGAATGATGAAATAGGCTCAGAGCAAATGGAGCCGAGAGAGAGAGAGAGAGAGAGACAGAGAGAGAGAGAGAGAGAGAGACAGAGAGAGAGCGCAACTGGGGGACAGGGGTAGAGCTGCTACTTCAAGCCATTCCTGAAGGAATCTCCACCTTCTGAGAATGCAGTTCTGGGGGTCAGTAAAGTCCCTGAGCCATTCTGGGCAAGTTTTATCACTGCTCACACAGTCCTAACTGATACAGTGTACAGATCCGCTCTTGTTCTTGTGGGTGGAGGGACAGGGCTCTCATCACATTCTCAAAACGCATTCTAAAAGGAATTCAGGGAGAGCTCGAATCCAGTGATATCATTGACAAATACAAGGATAGGCCATCCATGAGGGTGAGTGGCTGCTCTCAAGGGACCACAGAAGACCTGGGCCAGATCCCCTGGTGCGCAGGGAAGGCTGGGGGCCCCAGAGGCTGGCACTAACTGGCAATCAAGAAATATTTGTTGAATGGAAAGCAGCAGGAAAATTCTAACAAGTCACACTTTACATGCAAATTTTCAGGAATATTTTCAGGAAAATAGCTAATGTGTGAACATCTAATCTGCATTTCCATGTCCTGACAGATGGCCCATATTAACAGAGCTCTGATTATAGTTAAAAAAAAAATAAGTAAAAGAGAGAAGGAAAGACAGAATAGAAAAAAGAAAACGTACAAATATCTGTTGAGGGTTACTGTGAGTGAGGCTACACAAAGCAAGACCTTTGTGATGTCACATTTATTGTTTAAAACAAGCAACGTCCACATATCCCTATCTGTCAAAGATCATTCCAAATGCCACCCATGGGAGAAAGTGACTTGTGGGACATGCTTGGCTGGGGCAGGGCATCAGACCCTCTTCTTGTTTCTGCTGTTTTTCTTGGAAATGGAGTCTTTGGACCCTGAGAGTTTAAGGCTGTATTTTCAAAATGGAACCAGGGACCACCTGCATCAGAATCACTTGGGTTCCTGAGCCCTAGCCCAGACTTAAGGAATTAGAACCTGGTGGGGGAGGGCCCTGGGATCTGCATTTTTGGCAACTTTCCCAGATGGTTTGAAACGCTGAAGTTTGAAAACCTTTAGCTGCTGTACTCTGTTCCCTTGCTCATGGGGTCTTTGTAGTGCCTTCGGACATTCTGCACAGCACCATGGGAGGTGGCCCCTTGCGGGGAAAGCCCCAGTCTAGGCTGGGAGACTGAAGGTAGCCTGGGTTTGGTGAGATGGCATTGACCTCCTGAAGTCAGGGCTGGATCAGGCCATGCCAGAGGGAGGGGTGTGCATGAGGCTTTGTAGGAAGTGGCCCTGGGCCTGCTGATCCCACACCCAGCCTGATTATGCTTTCAGCTGGGGGGTCTGGCAGGCTGCTAGGGCTTCAAGCTCTCTGAATGATACCACGTTGTAGACTCCGTTATTTTCTCCCTTCTGTTGCCCTGCAGCACTTAATTTGGAAGGGAGATATTGCTTAATAGACATACTTTATTGCTTCTCACTTGCCATTAAATTCCCTCAAGGTGACGGTCACGGTTTCTATGCCTTGGGGCTTTGGTCCCTTCCCAAAGCCTCCATCACATCCACCACACTTCTGGGTACTCGTCAGATGCTTCAAAGTCTTTCTTTTGACCTGCCTTCTCATTTACTTGAAACTAGCGGCTGGTCTTCCCTCTCCTGCCTTTCTGGGCCAACACCCTAAGCTTTACTTAGGAGGTCACCCTCCTGAGTTCTCAGTCATGTGACCTGAGTATGACTGACCCTGGGCTGGGGTCTGATAGCATTGGCGGTCCTGTCCCTCTGACATGATTGCTGGCTGCTGAGTGGCAGTAACCTTAGCCTTCCAACCAGAGTGACCTCTGTGACTCTTGCTGGGAATTTCCAGCACCAGTCTCTCTTTAGTGGTGGGGAACAAGGAAGTATGTGGTTCCAGGCACTCTTGGTGGGCTTTGTAGGACTTCCAGAGGACAGTGTGGCTAAGGATGGGACCAGAATGAGGAAGCACAGCCAAGAACTGGGGCCAGGGAACCAGGACCTAAGACCTGAGCACATCCTTGACACTTGAATAAAGATTTGCCTGAAGCCACATCTATTCCTGAGCTGTGTCGTTATTTGTACTATAAATGTCTGAGTTTGTTGTTTTGGTTTTGCTGAAGTGAGTTTGAGCTGGGGTTTGTTACCTGCGACTAAATATGTCCCAACAGACATATCGTCTCTCCCCTTGTCTCTCTTGCAGTCATATGTTCCAGTCGTCTTTGGTTCCCCTCCTCGCTCCTCAATTTAAACCAAATATTAAATAACTAACCAGCAGGAAAGGTAGGAGTGGCATTATTTGGATTCATGGCTTGTTGAGATCCCATGGCTGAAGAATATTGATTAACGGATCAATGTCATTCTGGAGGCAGCCCTGTCCTGTTCAACAGTTTAATCAATGACTTGGATGAAATGGGAGACAAGCTTAACAAGTCTCAGATGACACGAAGCTAGAGGAACTGCTAATATGACAGATGGCAGAATCAAGATTCAAAATTCTTTCGACTGACTTGAACAGTAATAAGGATAAATAGAAACTCTTGCATTTGGGCTCAAAAGATCAATTGTAGAAGCAGAGGACTGGGGAGACCTGGCTTGGCAGTTGTCATAACAACATAGAAGTTGGAGTTGACCATAAGCTCATTTGAGCCAATCATTGAGGCAATCAGTAACATAGTTCTGAAGTCCTCAAATATTTAAAAACGGATATGGGACAGAAGGGCTAACTTTGCCACTACTTCCCCAGTCGGACAAAGAAGCAGAATTTTCTGGAAAGCAGTTCCAATAATGGAACAAGCCACCTTGCAACATGGTGAATGTAGCAGTAATTACAGGATGTAATAGAAACAGTTCTTTATGGAAAGCTTTTAGAGCACAGGTTTTAAAAATGATTCTCTCCCACAATTCACAGGTCAAAGCAACACACACACAAACATCCGGGAAACGCAGGAAATGGGGAAGGAGCCTGGTGTGGCGCTGTTGTAAGTCAGTTGACTCCTCCAAGAGCAGTCTTACCTCGCAGGAATGCTCAGACTTGAACTTGGAGTTCACAGCCCCGTCTTACCTTCCTCCATTTGTGGACTTCTTCCTCAGCCCCACCATTCTTCATTCCTGCTTCAGCTCAGCCTGTCCCTGTGTCCACTCCTAGTTTGGCTCTTTTTTCTGGCTCTCCCCTACCTCCCTTAGTGAGGCACCCCATGGTCATAGCATTCAGCAGCCACACCTCCTTCCCAGCTGCTGCCCTTTGACCTCCACTCCTTCCTGGGCCTTTGCAGGTCCCTAACCCAGTTTCATGGGCTGAGACTGTGCAGGTCTGTGAGCCCTTTGTCCTTTTTTCCCCTTGTGTTAGGAACACTCCATTGTACTTGCTAGCCCAGAGAGATGGAGAAGGTGGACAGTGGCCTTATTTCATCTTATAAACTTGAAATGTGATGTTAGCAAGTTATTAAAAAACACTTTCACAAAATCAGCTGCCCTGTGGATGTCACATGGACGCCTGGGTCCCACTTGTACTCACGTGCCTCTCCTTGTAAAGGTCCACCTCTTTCAGAAGCCTCTCCTGGCAGTCGGGGTGGGTGGCCAGCAGGTAGGTGGCGAAGGAGAGCGCGCTGGTGATGATCTCATGGCCAGCGATGAGGAAGAGGAAGGCCTGGCCCACAATCTCGTCTTCAGTCAGAGGCTGGGCCGGGGCTCTGGGCTGGTGCCTTGGGGAAAGATCCACTGTGCACTTGGGAGAGGTCAGGACTTCTTTGACAATGTCAAAGTTCTCTATGCCCACAGTGTTTGTGGAACATCGAGCATCCAGCACCATTTGGAGGAAGTCTCTCCGCCTCTAAGGACAAGAGAGGAAAACACAGTTTGACCTCAGAGTCACAGAGGGAAGCTCATGGAGGACAAAGGAAGAAGATGCGTGGGTGTCATTTTTAAACAGTTCAGCAGGAACCACATCCTTGTTATTGGGTTACCTGCGACGGTGAGAACCCGGAAACCACCTGAATGGCCCTCCATCAGGCACTGTTCTGCAGACTCTGGACTACGACACTGCCAGGAAAAAGTGAAGCCATTCTTTCCTTTTTAGCTGTACATACTTATGGGATGCAGTGTGATACCTTGATAACATGTCTACACTGTGTAATGACCAAATAAGAGTACATAGCATTTCCTTCTCCTTAAACGTGTACCGTTTCTTTGTCTTTCAAAGGCCTGTTTTCTAGGTCTTTATAAAGTATGTAAGTTGCTATAAGTTGTACTCACCACTGTGCTGCAAAGCACTAGAAGTTAGTCCTCTTAGCTAATTGGATTTTGGTGCCTGTTATGTTCCTGCTCCCTCCCCGCATCCTAGCCTCTAATGACCACTTTTCTACTCTCTATTAAATCAGCTTTTTAGCTTCCACATCTGGCAGCAAACATGTTGCATTTGTCTTTTTGTGCCTGGCTTATTGCACTTAGCATAATATCCTCCACTTCCCACTCATGTAGTTGCAATGACAGTATATCATCCTTTCTTAGGGCCATATAATATTCCAATGTCTATATCACATTTTCTTTATCCACTCAGGATGAAGCCATTCTGTCTGGGCTGATCTGGAAAAGTGTGCAGCTACTTTATTAAGTAAAAAAAAAGTCACGTGCAGAACAGTGTGCATAGTGGGATTGTATCTGTAAAAACAGTGACTGTACAGTCTGTATAAGCCTGCATATCCATCTACACATAGAAAATATTTAGTAACATTTATCCTCAATAGCTCCTGGTGAGCTGGAGGAGGTTGGAAAATCGGGGGGGGGGGGGGCACTTAGTTTTACTTTCTATAGTTGGTTGGCTTTCCGACAATAAAGCCAGAAAACATCTTATAGTTTTTTTTTTTTTTTTGGTGGGACTGGGGTTTGAACTCAGGGCTTCACACTTGCAAAGTGGGTGCTCTGCCACTTGAGCCATACCTCCAATCCATTTTTCTCCATCTTGTGAACTATTTGCCCAGGCTGGCCTCGAACTGTGATCCTTCCAGTGTTAGTTTCCCAAGGAACTAGGATTACAGGTGTGAACCCCAGTGCCTGGCTTATTTTAAAGATTTAAATCAGAGAAGTTGCTCCACTGATCACTTGGGCACAATTTTGGGTTTATACAGGTAGTCATAAGTTTTCGCACACAGTAGAAGTCAACAGAACGGGGTGGTGGGGAGGGGGGCAGGGGAGACTTGGGTGGAGTTTGTCTTCAAAGCCCCCAGACTTAGCAGTCTGCTTCCTAACTGAGTCCTCTTTTTCCCTCAGTCATCTCCAAGTCCATTTAAGAGGCTGGAATTTTCTTACCATTTCCTCTACCTTCCTTCTCAGTAATTTGCATATTCTTTACATTTTTACTACCGCCAATTCTGACTGTAGGAGTGCTTGTTTAGCATTCATGAAGTATATTCCTGGCTCATCCCTTCTTGGAAACATCCTTTAATATGATGAATGACAACCAAGATGTTGCTCCTTTTTGAAGTTTATGGTATTAAACAGCAAAAGGAGAGGGTCAGAACCTCCAACAGGAAAGTATTATAATTTCAAAGTATATCCTACTTGCCTCATCTCAATTCATTGGCTTCTAAATGTCTGTTGCATAAATAATCTATGTGTCACATCTTACCATGCAATTCCATCTTTTAAGTCATTGTCATTGCATATGTTGTGAGATTATAAGCACCCCCCCACCTGTGCCTAGCATTGTGTTGAAAATGTCTTAGATATGCAATGAAAGTTCCAGAAACCAAAATGTAAGGTGAGAAATGCATTCAGAAGAAGGATTGTTGGGTTTGGTTTCAACTGTGTGTTGTTTTGAGCAGGAGGCTTGGCTTAGGAAACCTTTACAGCTCCTGCCTCCCAGCTCCGTGACCTTGGAAGGTGTGTGTGGGGAAACCTAGTAGGGCTCATGAGTAAGACTGTGGGTGTTACACACCTTGAGGTTAAGGGGTCAAGATTTCCACTTCCGCCAGCCTGCTTAGCTGTAACAGCTGAGAAAATGGCAAAGGGTCAGTGAGAACCCCTTCCTCAGCCTGCCTCCCCACCAGCCTCCAGAGCACCTCCAGGCTTCTTGGTTGGTCCATTTGAAATTCCTTGGTGTGTGATGTGGTTGTGGCTCCTGATGCTTGGTCCTGGCTTTGCTGGGGTGGGGTAGGGGTGATGACAAGAGGAAGGGTACCGCCATGTCCACTCTAGAAGCAGAATGGTAACTGGCATCTCCTGCTCAGCCAAGGTGCTCCAGGGCTGGTGGTGTCTTGCAGAAATGTCTTAACCTCCGGCCAAGAGGCTGGAGGAAAGGACCACTCTCGATGGCTTACGAGAAACTAGATGGGGTTCTTTTATTCACAGTGCATCACAGAGTGGAGGGAGGCTATCTGAACACTGCCCATTTAGGACCGAAACAGTGCTGGTTTATGGTTATATCCAAGAAAAATAGGCACCCTGATAGATGCAGGTGTCTAACCCACCCATCGGCTAGAGCTTAGAAAAATATTTACCTTTTAACATCTGTGCCGCGTTTTCACTGCGCAAACACACATCTGCTTGATGGACTGTATACAGAGTTCAGATGGTTTTCAAGTGAGTTTTCTTAGTAACTGTATAGCTCTGTCTTGACATGGGCAGTCCTGGATTTGTGGTTGGGAGGTTTTTCTCAGATCAACTCTTTGTTTGAAACAAATAGCTGTACAGTTTATAAAAGGAAAAGCTCAAGGCAATCCCAGTAATTGGATCTTTAATAACCTCTCACCTCTTAGTAAGTCACTCAGTGCAACAGTTTTTAAATTTTCTGCCTGGTTCCATAGGTGGTGGGTTTCAGGATAGGGGTCTGTATGTGTGTGTGTGTCTGTACATGTGTGTCTGTGTGTGTGTGTGCGACAAAGCTCTCACAACCCAGCCCTCCACAATGGTGAGGTTTGAAAATGGCTCTTTCTTTATTCTTTGTCCCCAGGCTCCACAGCCAGGAAGCACGCACCTGGTTAAGAATGTGCTGTCCCTTAGGTATTGCTTCTGAGGGGGGCCAGGTATACCAGCTAGCTGATTGCTTCCCGCCCCCCAAGGGCATTCTTGTCAAGTTCACACCGAGATGGGCTAAGGAGCCGAGAACTCGTATACACCTTCCCACGCCTTCTGGAACCAACAAGTCCCCAGGGCAGGAAAACGAGCAGGACAATGTTGCTGCCCAAGGCTGGTCAGTGCATTAGCCACTAATTGCCTGTGACTTCATTCCAGGCCAGTGCCTTTACCGTCAGACCTCCCAGAGTCCTCTGGGCCACTCGGTCTCGCAAAAACCCTTTTAAAGCCGCATCTTGCACAAGTCAGTTATGGAAAAGCTCTTTCAGCCCTTTTTTCCTTTCAGTAACATTTTTTAATGCCATGAGGCCCTTAAAGAACATCACTTACACATGTACAAGCATATCAGCGCTGAAACGGTCTTCCTTCACACCCCAAGTCCCTACTTCTATTCTTAGCCAAGTTCAACCAACAAATGTTTACTTGATCCCTACCATGTGTGGAGCAGAGTGCAAGTCTGCAAGGAAGAACAAAAACTCTAGGTCTCAGATGAAGCATGCTGAAGAGACAGGGTGGGTGTCTGGGGTCTGCACTCGTGCCTGTGATCCTAGCTACTCGGGAGGGGGAGATTGGGAGGATCAAGGTTCAAGGCAAACCAAGGCAAAAAGGTCATGAGACCCCATCTGAAAGGATGACCAGCATGGTGGTACATACCTGTCATCCAGTTGTGTGGGGAAGCATAAATAGGAGGACTGTGGTCCAGGCTTGCTTGAACATAAGTTTGAGACCCTATTAAAAGGGCTGGGGCTGTGGCTCAACTGGGAGAGCACCTGCCTAGCAAGGGAGAAGCCCTGAGTTCAATGTCCCAGGAAATAGACGAGAGAGAGAGAGAGAGAGAGAGAGAGAGAGGGAGAGAGAGACCAGGGTCTTTAAGCACAATTTTTCCTAGAAACATCCTGAAAGGGACCATGGAATTGGCTGCTGTTGCCTGAACCTCTCTCTAATATTTGTTATTCATGCTATGAAAACTTGTCTTGCCATTTTTCAATAGACAGAATGTACTCATGAAAATTGCATGGGTCCATTTACCTAGAATTCTTTGGGGCTGCCATAACCTATGCTTAGAGTGATGTCTGAGTTACAGAGGTGCTTTAGGGGTGTCTTTTATTCTCCCACATCAGGGCAGGGGCCCATTGCTCCAGGCCTCTCCTCTCCACCATCCTTCCCACCTCCCCTCCCTTTCTTGTAGACCTTCCTCCACCTTTCTCTTTGCTTTCTATTGGCCTTGGAAGACTAGGAGTATTAGAGTGCTAAAAAACAGTACGATGTGATGTGCAGGGTGAGGAGGGAAGAGAAAGAAAAGAGAGACAGCGATGCCAAATTAGGTTCTGTTTCAAGGCTGTGTCCTATTAAAATCCGTTACCTCTTCTGCGGCTTGCTGGTCCCGCGAGGCAATCACATTCCTAATGAGTTTGTTAAAAAAGCCATTCAGTTCATCTCGGTTCTTATTGGGCAAAATCCGGGCCAGTGGGACCATTATGGATGGAAAGGATACTTGAAAGAGAAAACAAAAGTGCATTGGAAAGGGGCGATAATAAACCAGAGCTGTTAGATGCCTGTTACTAGGAAGCAAGGGCTGGCCTTGAATTAGAGTCACTTGGGAGTCACTGCTCCTTACAGCAGGGTTGCCTAACTCTAGCTCTGTTCCCCGCACCATTCCTTGCACATAGTCAGCACTCAGGAAACATATGTGCTGTTAACAGAGTCCTCATCTCCATCGGGTCCTACAAAGTCAATCTCATGCTTATAAATTAACACCTTTGGTCCTAGCTATGAAGGCCAAGGTCCCTTCAAGAAGGAGCAGCTCACAGGCTGTGTTTCAAGTCTTACCAAGGGGTAGAAGCCTATCTACTTTCTTAACTTTCTGGTCTCTGGATGATGGTCCCTAAAGCAACCACCTGAGTTGTTCCTAAGAGCGGCCACTGCAGCTGCCGACAAGGATGCTGGTCCCATCCACTGTGGCCTCCTCTCCTGGCAAGCCATGTGCAGCCTGGGCCCTTGCTGCTGTACCTTTGGAATGGGGCTCCCTGGGTCAGGGACACTAAATTCCTCCTGGAGAGGAATTTCTTCATCCCCGTGGTAGGTCTCCTACACACAGGGCTTGTGCAGAGCTGGGCCAAAGGGACCAGTTCTGGATGCTCAGGGGCCTCAGAATGCTTGGCCTGTTTAGAGGTACAGACAGCAGGGACAGCAGGAGAGTGACAATGGAACCATCTGTCCCTTGGGGGTATCCCGTGGTTGAAGGCACACAGGAGGGGCAGACTCAGCCCCAGTAGCCCCTGCAGGGGTGAAGGAAAAGACTGACTTCCAAAACAAATTCTCCTTCAGTTTCAGAGTGGAACTGGTGCAGGATACAGGGCTTCCCACTAAAATTGGCTCAGAAATGGGAACAAAAGTGAACAAAGAATTAACAGAATTTGTAAGCCAGGAAAAATGGCTGGAAATAATTGTACTGGTCAATTACATTCACAGCACCCCCAAGCTTCCATAAAAGCAAGAAGATACTGGAACAGGCCAGAGGGCAAAACTCACCAGTAAAGTAAAAGTACAATCAATAGACTAGCTGTCGCACACTTCTCCACCTCCCCGTCACCCATCCTGTGATTTCTAGCTTAAGAATTTTCCAGCGGAGAAGTCTCCTGAAGAGAATTTTGCTGGAGGGGAGATAAATGCCCTAAAAAATGAAAGATTTTGGGTTCTAGTCTTAGAGCTGCCTTCCTAAGCCTCAGTTTTCTGATCCTGAAAAATGGGGACAAGAATATTTTTCTTCTAAGGTGGATGCCAGGAGTGATGGAACAAATGCCCACAAAGCACTTCACACTCGTCATCACCACCATGGCAGCATGACAGAGGCCAGGGCTGCTTGTGTTGGTGACAAGTGACCCCAGCCTGTGACAAGAGAAACCTGGTGGCTCTAGGAAGACAGAGTCTCTGCAGGGCAACTCTCAGAGACCCCTGAGTGCCCTTTTTTAGTGACAGGGGCTGAGGTCTTGTCACCATGGGCAGGGCTGTACTTACAGATTAAAGCCAAGAGAGGCCTGGGGATGCTGAAGGTGAAGAAACGCCTGCAGTGCTTCACGAAGGGGTCCTTGGGAGACTTCTGGGAGTCCACCTGGGTGCCGAAGGCAACGCTGGCCACTATGTCTGTGGTGTAGCAGCAGTAGTGCCTACAGGGATGGGAGGGTTTGAATTTGGACGGATGCTGGCATCAGCCCTACCCACAATGCCTCCCTCCTGACAAAGCAAGTTTCCATCGTCTACAGGGTGACCCTAGCCCTGCAAAGAGGCTGGAGAGAAGAACTTTTCAAGATCCGAAAGAGGCAGTGGGAAGAAACTTCTGGAATGAGCAGCAACAGCAGAATACAGGAGGAGATGGAAGACGTGAGAGTAAGCCTATCACAGCAAACTTGGGCAGGGCTACCACTCACTCAGCCTCGAGGCTTCAGAACAGAGTCAGACACCATTGTGCTTCCTGTGTAGGAGGGGGAGTAGGAGCACCAAAGCCCACGGCCTCCACCCACAGGCAGTGCAGGTGAAGCCCATCTCCGACCAAAGCCTGAGGATCAACTGATACCGTCAAATTGTCGTGGATGAGTGAACGACCTGAGTATCTCATTGCCTTCACTACCGCCCCAAGTATTCCTCCTAGTGATTTTGCATTTTTAAAAAGAGCAGCTAACCCAAAACGAGGGCTCTTCACACCCCAATAAACAGCAGACCAACTTTGGAGCTGGCCTTGTGATCACATGTGTGTTGTTACAGAAAACACAGTGCACTTTAGCAACAAGCAGAAGGAAAAGCCTCTGGCAGGAGCTCCAAGAACGTTAAGGTCTTACGCTGTAGGAAATCTATGTCCCAAAAGGCCATTTTAAACTAGAATGCTTCTTTTTTGTTTTTTTACAGGAGTTGTCAGATTAAGTTCTCTTTTAAGAAGGCTAACAACTGGGTTATTAATATCCTTTCATAATTACAAGGTCTATTTTTGTCCTTGATGTAGGCATACATTTAGTTCCTCTTCTACACAGGTTCTACAGCCACCAACTTATCATTAGGGAACAAATGACATTTCCAGATGACCGTAAAATTTTGACTGTTTTTATTGAAAACATTTCTGCACTTGATTACAGATTTCCCCCACTATAGTAAAAACAAAAACAAGACTACCAAATGTGATTCCATCTGATTTTAATGGTTGAAGATTGAAGGGTTTTAAGAGTTATTTACTTTGCTTTTATAGCTGATGAGGCTGCCTTATCTTTACCACCTCCTGCCTCCTCTGAGCAGAGAGAGAGTGGACGATATGTTGCCATATGGTGTAATGCAAATGTTGGTGTCGATTGTGTTACTGGTTTATTAGCAATGACAACCATGAATGGGCTGGGGCTGACACAGCAGCTCCGTTCTACTTCTGACCTCTGCCCGCCATGATTTGGCACAAAACAATTAGAGACTCCTAGGAGAAAAGTTAGACAGTCACTTAAATCTGGTGTCCACCACTAAGCCGTGGCTTCTTTGGGGGGGCGGCAGTACTGGGGTTTGAACTCAGGGCTGCATGCTTGCTAGGCAGGCGCTCTACCACTTAAGCCACTCTGCCAGTCCCAAGCTGCGGCTTCTGTTCAGAGAAGTCCCACAGTCTTTCTTGATGTGAGAACGCAGAGATGCTCCCCCAGGTCCCTGTCCTTTCTGCCCAGACATGTCTTGCCCCGCACCTGGGTCTGCGAGGACTGGAAGACAAGTTTGTTCATGGGCCAGCCGCTGCACACTTGGGGCTTTCTCAATCAGCCACACAGTCTTGGGCTTTGGTCCCTTTGTTTCTCATTCTAAAAGGGTTTCATTTCTTCTCGTTAGTCAGTCTGTCCCTGCTTTCATGAGCTTCTAGCATTTGCAAGTCCCAAGGTAACTGCCCAGCAATTATGGACAGTTACAAGAAGCGACTTCTCAGCTGTAATGGAGCACCCTTACCTCTGGATGTCGAATGCGTTCCCGGATTCTGCACAGCGCTTCAAATGAGCCAGGAGCAGGTCACAGGCTTGGCTGATGAGGGGCGTCATCTGATGAGGGGTAACAGAGGTGCAATTAGAGACTCATGCAGGGGTCACACCAAATCAGCTGCTGGTATGAGGTGACAGGTGGAGCTTTCTGGGAGAATGGACTTTGTTCTGAAGGTACTTCTCACTCAGCTAGGATGAAGGATGAGGTTCTAAAATTCACAAATATTTAAAAAATACAAGAGCTGCAATCATCTATTTTGAGCTTTAGCAAGCTTCTGTGGGGGCAACAAAAGAGGAGAAAGGGTTGAAAGTATGGTGAGCTAATTATGAAAGTGAATGTTAAGTGTGTAGACTGAGCCAGGATCAGACTCAGTTTGTGACATGTGGTTAGCATTAGAGAGCAAATAGACCACATTCCATATGTCCTCCACTGGAACGAACCCAAGCCCATGTTTGCTTGTTTCAATTATACTTTTCCACTAGAACACTGAGTCTAGTATCCAAAGGTACCTGAGGTCATCCATTTCAACCTCTTAATTATCACAGAAGTTATTTTTAGATCATTTCCTAAGGATGGCTCGTTTGTGCTTAAGCTCCTTAACCTGTGAACATAAGCTAAGTCTTGACTTCAGTTGCCACAAAACACAGTTGTTGGCTACTTTTTTTAATATTAAAATATTTTATGATGGAGTCTGGGACTGTAATCCTAGCTACTTGAGAGGCTGAAATTGGAAGGATCACAGTTCAAGGTCAATCCAGGCAAATAGTTCTCATAACCCCATCTCAACCAAGATCGGGAGCAGTGGTGCACGTGTATCATCCCAGCTACAGTAAGATGTAAAATAGGAGGCTTACAGTCCAGTCCAGCTTGGGCAGAAAGCCAGGCCCTACTTCCAGAATAACTAGCAAAAAGGGCTGGAGGTGTGGCTTAGGCAGTGAGCACCTACCTAGCAAGTATGAGGCCCTGAGTTCAAATCCTAGATCACACACAAAAAAAATTATGATGGGAATTTTCTAAAACACACAGAAAGGTAGAGAGAACAGTGTCATGAGCACTCATGCAGCCATCACCGAGTTTCAATAAATTTAGATCTCATTTTTGGCTTCACTTTGACCCTAGTAGACTTGCTTGGGTGGGTGGAATTCTTTGTGGAGCCAGATAGGCACCCTTGTGACCTTTAATTCTCCTGTATGTTTGAAAGGCCAAGCTGGAAATGTCGAGGGGAATCACATTAACCAGTGCACTTTCCCGAATAGCATTACAGCTAAAGCGACCTGCTGTCTGTCATACATCGCTCTGAGCGTTTCTCACAGAGAACATATTTTGAAATGTTACCTTATGTTTAGATTTTACTTTTTTATTTTTATTTTTTGGTGCTACTGGAGTTTTAACTCAGGGTCTCGTGCTTGCTAGGCAAGTGCTCTACCTTGAGTCACTCCCTTCAATCCCCGCCTTTTATTTATTTTTTTGGATAGGATCCCATGCTTTTGCCTAGGGCTGGCCTCAGAGCTGACTCCTCCTACCCAAGCTTTCTGTATAGCACACAGGCGTGTACCACCACACCTGACTTGTTCTTTGAGATAGGGTCTCTCTTAGCTTTTGCCTGGGGTGGTCTTGATCTGTAATCTTCCTATCTCTACCTTCCAAAAACAGCTTGGATTACAGGAACAAGCCACCGTGCCCAGCCTTTGAATTTACTATTTTGACAGTAGACTATGGTGTTCCTGAGAGCAGGGAAGATTTTTTTTTCTGTTTACTTTTGTATTCCTCAGATCCTAGCTAGAACAGGGTATGGCACATAGTAATTCTGTGAGGAATGAATCAATGTTACTGATTATATAATGCTTGCTTTGTGCTCTTACATCTGCAGACAATGGGAAAAATTATAAAATATTAATGTACTTGTCAGAGTATGTTATTGAATTGAGGCAAAATCTGACTCTGTCATCATTTGGATCTCAAATATCCCCCAAAGGGGCAAGGGCTTTGTCCCGAGTGGTACTATTGGGAGGAGGTAGGGCCTTCTGGAGGTAGGCAGGTCCTAGTAGGTCTTTAGGTTATTGGGAGTGTGCTCTTCATGGAGACTATGGGACCGCAGCCTTTTCTTCACTCTCTCTTTCACTTCTGACCTTGAGGTGAGTAGTTTTGCTCTGCCATGTGCTCCTGCCATGATGGGCCACCACCACCGGCCCAAAACAGTGGGCCAACTACCATGGACTGGAACCTCTCAAACTGTGCAAAAAAGAACCCTTCTATGTTGATTATTGTGGGTATTTGTTATAGGGACAGCAAGCTGACTAGATGCCTGAACTGGTTTCATTTTTGTCCGTTTCTTGTGACAGTGTATCAAACACCCAGACAGTGATATCTACCTGCTCATCTTCTCCTTGACAGTTATTCCCCATTCGTTTGATTATTCCTCCAGCCACATGATTTTCATGCTACCCTCTATTCTTACTGCTCATTTAAAAAAAAAAAATCAGGGTCACCTCCAAGGGCAGCCCTGTAAGTGGAACACAGTACTACTTCAGGTGCGATCCAGTAAATGGTAAATGAGTCACTCCCTGTGATCTGCACACTGCATGTTAATCGCAAGGCCTGGCTTATGTTGACACATAGCACAGGCAAATGTCAAGGTTCAGGTCAATGGAAACCACAAAGACTTTTTCCATAAATTGTCACTCTGTGCAATTGACTCTTAGACCCTTTGGGGTCCTTCCATTAGAAGATTTCACATTTACGTTGCACTTATTTCTGCAAAAAGTTGCCGGTTATCTCCTGGAATTTGATAAAGATGTCTTCTGAGTCTTCATCCTGTTCATACCTATGTAGACAGATTTAAGTGCAGAGCCCTGTGGCCCTCTGCTAGATAGCTATTTCAGGTAGCTGCAGAATTTTTTCAAAATCCTTTGGCTAGCCATGCATGAACCTAAGTAAACACTCAGTCAGACACCATTTTTCTAAAAATTGGTAGGGAAAAACTGTCAAAAGACAGCCAAAACAGAAATATAATTTGTCTCAACTACCTCTCCTGAAGTCTGCTCAAAAAGGTGAGTATGAATCCTGATTTATTCTGTGTTGGCTCTTCATGAAGAAGGCGTTCTTTTCTAAATTCTCACAAACCATCAATTTAATAATCTATCAGTACAAACATGTATGCAAATGGGTCCCTTAAAATGGCTCCTGGCTCATCATTTCCAAGAAATCTCAGACTTCTGTAATAATTAGAGAACTCAGTACTGTCTCAGCGTATTTCTGTAGCTGGCTTTCCTGACTATCTTCCTTCAGTTATTTTAATAAACTTAGATACAAGCGAGCTCTGTTTTAATAAAATCCCAGATGCTAAAATATCTTTTAGCTATATTTCAGAGGACTAGTAACACTGTAAAAGCAAACAAACAAAACTCCCACAAGCCAGTGTGGTGATACATGTCTATAATCCCAGCACACAGAAAACTAAGGCAGGAGAATCAACAGTTCAAAGACAGCCTGGGCTACATAGCAAGACCCCATCTCAAAACAAAACAAAGCTGTTCAAAAGGAAATCTCTTTAGATATCAAGCTTGAATCTTCTTTAAGGTAGCAAAAGAGATGCAGCATGAAATTAAATCAGCACACAACTCCTTGACACACAACTCCTCAGAGGCACATCCTGTGTGTTAAGAGATAGTCATTCATACTCAATCCACACTCAGCCTGCACAATGCAGGGGAGCCTGGACCAGCTGCCTCCCACCATCACTTCCTCCACGTGCGTGCTTTGTTGCTAGCTGATGTGATTGCAATTTCTGCTCTCCGATGCCTGCTGTCTGTCGGACTGAATGGATAATGACATTTTTATTTGGGTTAATGTGATAGGAGATAGGGCATATATATATATGAACAATGTTTTAAAAAGCAATGCAGAGAAAACATTACAAGGTTGAGGAGCGCGATCTGTATGTCAGCCAGTAGCCACTGGCTCAGGTCTTCTTCCTTGCGTATGCACAGCATTTATGGAATATTTACACTTACATGAGTTGCATACAAACAAAAGCTCTCTTTGATAGGCTTGCATAATCTTTATACAAACCCTGCAGTTCTTCCCCTAGGTTTTCAGACGAGCAGGCAAACGTGGCCTGTGTGCACACACGTGTGCACAGATGAATACACAATGCTATTATCATTCAGATCTTAATTAAAGACTGTTGTTTGGTACTTATGTTTCATCTTTGTTGGATGAGTGATTTTTATTTTTGTTTTATTACAAATTTTCCAAAATGCACATGTGTTGCTCTTATAATCATATGAAATATTAATGTTTTGAAAAAAAATCGCTTCTCCTGGGGGGTTGTTATGGACTGAATGTTTGCATCGATCTAAAAGTCATACGTTCTCTTAGTGTAGTTGTATTTGGAGATGGGGCCTCTCAGGAAACCATTAAGGTCACAAGAGTAGGGTCCTGAGTGGACTAATGCCCTTATAAGAAGAGACACCAGAGTGCCCTTTCTCTTTCCTCTCTCCTTTCCCTACCCACACCTGAGAATAGGTCACCTGAGTGACAAAAAGATGGAGGTCACCAGCAAGATGGAATCCTCATGAGATACCAACATTGTTGACACCCTGAACTCCAACTTCCAACCTCCAAAACTGTGAGAAAATTAATATCTGCTCTTTAAGTCACCCTGTCTATGGGTAATGAGCCTGGTCTTAGAGTCGTGCAGCCAAGCCTGGGGAGAATTTTGTGTTTTTTCTCACCTCTCACATTGGTCGTCCCCAGAGGAGCAGCGCCAAGTATGAGCATCTCTTTGGTAACAATGGTACCTGCTGAGGGTAAAGCACCATCCTTGGTCTGGGAAGGAAATTCCCCTAGGAAGGAAGGAGTTCCTGCTTGACCTGGGATTTATTATATAATTTAAATGCCCAATTTGTAAAAAAAGGATTCTACCAACTGTGTCTTAGGAATTCTGAATTAAGGTGTAGACAGAGGCAAGAGAGTGAGGTCTAAAAGGTGGGAGGGCCTTATGAGGGGGCAAAAGAGACAACATACAGAGTCATGACTGAGAAGGGCTGAGGAGCCC